TTAGTAGTATTTCAGTAGTATAGTATAACCAGTAATGGTTTAGTGTTTGTTTATTTGTTCGTATGACATCATTAAACATAGCACAATGTTAAGGCTAAAATTTGCCTTCACTGTTATTATTTACATGAGACAAGGTTTCGTTATTGTTAATGCATTGAAGTTAGCAAACAATGAGAATTTTAGTTTGTTTCCAGTTTGCTCAGATCTTAAAGCTAAAAGTCACATTTTTAGAAAGTGCCACATATCAGCACACAACATTACATCCAGTGAGCTGTATGGAACCAGTCCCTGTAACAGTTACCTGCCTCAGGATTGTAAAAGAGCAAACTACTCCTTTTTTAGATAGCCGTTCAAAGTAATAGCTTATGCTACTATAAGCACTAAAAAAAGCAGTATTTTTAGCAATTCTAGTACATATTTATTTTTTTTGAAAAATCTTTTTATTCATTTTGCATAGCTAGTACATATTTAACAGTATAACATCATTAAACATAAAAGTGGTAACACATTGTTAAGGCTAAAATATGCTTTCACTTTTATTATTTACATGAGACAAGGATTTGTTATTGTTGGTGCATTGAAATTAGCAACAGATGAAAACTATTATTTGAGTTTGTTTCCAGTTTGGTAAACATAATTTGCTTAATTTTAATTGATTTCTTGATGAAAAAGCGATTGTTGAATGACTGTAAAGGCGGATAGCTATTTATTGAGGCAAACAGCTAAATAAATGGATGAAATACATATAGCGGAGCTGTTTTACCAACAAAAGAACAGTATGGGGTCTATTCACGAAGCTGCCGAGGGCAGCCGAGTGAATGACCAATCTGAAGTGAAGTGAGCCGAACACTGTTCGGCTATTCACTTCAGGCTCGTACGGCTGATTTCAGCCGTACATCGGCTGAAATCAGCCGTACATCGGCTGAAATCAGCCGTACATCGGCTGAAATCAGCCGTACATCGGCTGAAATCAGCCGTACATCGGCTGAAATCAGCCGTACATCGGCTGAAATCAGCCGTACATCGGCTGAAATCAGCCGTACATCGGCTGAAATCAGCCGTACATCGGCTGAAATCAGCCGTACATCGGCTGAAATCAGCCGTACATCGGCTGAAATCAGCCGTACATCGGCTGAAATCAGCCGTACATCGGCTGAAATCAGCCGTACATCGGCTGAAATCAGCCGTACATCGGCTGAAATCAGCCGTACATCGGCTGAAATCAGCCGTACATCGGCTGAAATCAGCCGTACATCGGCTGAAATCAGCCGTACATCGGCTGAAATCAGCCGTACATCGGCTGAAATCAGCCGTACATCGGCTGAAATCAGCCGTACATCGGCTGAAATCAGCCGTACATCGGCTGAAATCAGCCGTACATCGGCTGAAATCAGCCGTACATCGGCTGAAATCAGCCGTACATCGGCTGAAATCAGCCGTACATCGGCTGAAATCAGCCGTACATCGGCTGAAATCAGCCGTACATCGGCTGAAATCAGCCGTACATCGGCTGAAATCAGCCGTACATCGGCTGAAATCAGCCGTACATCGGCTGAAATCAGCCGTACATCGGCTGAAATCAGCCGTACATCGGCTGAAATCAGCCGTACATCGGCTGAAATCAGCCGTACATCGGCTGAAATCAGCCGTACATCGGCTGAAATCAGCCGTACATCGGCTGAAATCAGCCGTACATCGGCTGAAATCAGCCGTACATCGGCTGAAATCAGCCGTACATCGGCTGAAATCAGCCGTACATCGGCTGAAATCAGCCGTACATCGGCTGAAATCAGCCGTACATCGGCTGAAATCAGCCGTACATCGGCTGAAATCAGCCGTACATCGGCTGAAATCAGCCGTACATCGGCTGAAATCAGCCGTACGAGCCTGAAGTGAATAGCCGAACAGTGTTCGGCTCACTTCACTTCAGATTGGTCATTCACTCGGCTGCCCTCGGCAGCTTCGTGAATAGACCCCTATGTGTCCTGTGTATTATACAGCTCTAGTAGACTGTACAGCCAGGTTGTTGACTGACCTTCCTTCCTTCCTTCCCACCTTCCTTCCTTGCTGAACAATTTGTAAGAAGTACAGAGAAATAAGACTGAAGGGTGATGCAACAGTCTCATTGTTACAACATAAATTAGGTTGGTAGAATACAAGTTCAGACAGTCATTGGGGTTGCTTTACTATGTGGCCAATAGGCTGTTTACTTAGCAAGAAAATATGCACTTTGCAGGAAATTTTTCCCTTAGCATGGTAAATGTGGTGAAATTTTACTTTTCAAGGAATCATGAGGAATCATAAGGAAATATTAGAAAACAGTGTTATTGCTTGCACATCATTGGATGATGGAAGTCAGCAGAGCTTCACCTCATTCACTAAACTAGAAGGAAACTTCCACTGCAAAGTGCAAAACCTCTTGCAAAGTGAACAACCTGTTTGCCTTTTGTAAATCAACCCCATTACATTAATAAATGAAAAGTCTATCAAAGAATAGTGGAATTTGATATGGTAGTATATGTGTATGGGGTTGTTCTATATTGTTATGAACCACTTCAGCTCTCATACCTGTACACCCCTTATGGACCAGAGCAATTTTTACATTTTTGCGATGGGCCTGTTTTTTCAGTAATTATTTTTTTATTACCTAAGGTAACAAAGTAACATGTTTTTACTAGGACAAACATACTGTAGCATTATTTTGGTGATATCGTCTTACAAAAATGTATGTTTATGCAATACACAGACAAAACTATTATTAACTAGTGTTAGTATTATAATATGTTATATTATTAGTGTTATTAGTGGCTGGATCTCCAGGTGAATAAATAAAAAAGACTAAAAAGGAAACTAATACAGCCACCACATCTAGGGACTGGTAAGCTACAATATACAAAATGTTTGTTTTGGGGTTTAGAAATGTTTTAATGTAGGGGTGATAGGTACAGTAGAAGGGGTCATATCTTGAAGCTAAAAGTCACATTTCTGGAAAGTGCCACATATCAGCACACAACATTACATCCAGTGAGCTGTACAGAACCAGGCACTATAACTGTTACCGGCCTCAGGGTTGTGAAAGAGGAAACCGCTCATATTTTAGATAGCCATTGGGTTCAAAGTAATAGCTTATGCTTTTTTTAAGTATAAGTAGAAAAAAAGCAGCATTTTTCACACTTCTAGTACATATTTATCAGTAGAACATCATTAAACATAAAAGTGGTAACGCATTGTTAAGGCTAAAATATGCTTTCCCTCTAATTATTTACATGAGACAAGGATTTGTTATTGTTGGTGCATTGAAGTTAGCAACAGATGAAAACTATAATTTGAGTTATGTTTCCAGTTTGGTAAACATAATTTGCTTGATTTTAATTGATTTCTTGATGAAAAAGTGATTGTTGATTGACTATAAAAGGCTGATAGCTGTGCATTTTACAGCTGAACTTCAGGCAAACAGATAAATATAGTAAACTCCCAGTTATCTGGTACCCATGGGGATTGGTAGATGCTGGATAACTGTTGTTTCTGGTTTCTTGAGAGTTGCTGTTAATTCTCAAGCAACAACTCCCCCCCCCGCCCATTTATCTGCGGGTTAGTCTGTGATATAGGCTATTTAAAATTGCCATAGCCAATAGCAGGCTGGATATTGCACATGCCTACTGCCCGTTGTTTACATTTACCTGCCAGCTGTGGAATCTAGCCATCGGCTGCAGCAAGATGTAAACAGAGAATTTCGTTAGCAACTAAATAAGTTATCAAGCAGCTGGCAATAAAAAAAATTGACATATTTCATTTGATTTTCATTTATATTTAAAATTCAATTTTTGAATGAATGGTGTTTTCTGAACAAAAACCACATTCACTGTTAGAATTTCGTTCAATCGAGAAACATTTTCCAACATGCTCCTTCAAATTTTTTCATTACTGTGGTTGAAATTGATCATTGATTTAATCACATCAACAATTAGAAAGTCAAATGAACATTCTGAAATAGATTACATACATTTGAAATTATAGTAGCTTCTTTTCCTTCTAGGGTCCCATGGAGCCACCCGTGCGTGAGTGCTCCTGGCACGTGCTATGGACGAGTCTTCTTAAATCTGTAGAAATAACAAGAAGCCACTCCCCTTTCCCCTCTCCTCACTCCAACCCGTGCTAGATTTTGAGCCGTTCCATCCTACACAGTCCCTAGTGCACTATTCATGTGAAGCACTTAGGGCATGCTCTCCACTATCCTGAAGTTCCGGGAAATACAGCACTGGGGACCTGCGGCTGGTGGGAGGGAATGGCAGGATATGTTGTGTTTGGCAAACACACAGAGGAAAAAATGTACTCCACTATGTTTTATTCATTGACTGGAATGCATTCAGCTAAATAAAAGATCTGCCTGTCCAAGATGGGCAGATCGTATGTTTTTTTAATCACTTTACAACCATCGCAAGACTAAGGTCTTGCGATGGTTGTACAGTGTATGGCCACCTTTAAGCAGTAAAGAAAGGCTACCTCCTTGTAAATGGACAGTGAATGAGCAGCACCTGCAGCCTATCCTTCTGTTTTCTTCCTTGGACAGCATGTTCCATTTTAGCACATGTGCATGCAACATACAGCTCCTATAGCTGCTCCTTACTGCTCTTGAGCGCTGATGCTCAGGTGATTACTGAAATCAAGGCAAATGAACCACAGTAGCCACATTTGAAAACAACGTTCATTATTTGCAATGGCTACATTACTGCACTAATATCTACTGTACCTAGATTTCAACTTTAATGGATTTATATTTTTAATGAAAAACTTTGTCTTACTGAGCTGCAGCTGCCTTGTACATGATCATGTGTCAGGTGTGTTTGTAATATTGTGTACACATCTATTTATTGTTGAGAAACAATTAATTCAGGTCTCAGAAAATAAGCCGTATGCGTAATGTGACCTTTAAACGCAGGCATTTGGACGGTGATGCTGACCTTTCTTTAACTTGTTGTGATTGTTTTTTGTTTTGACAGATGCTATGCTGCTTGTTGCTGACAGATTGGAGGGGCCATTCAATATAGAGTCAGTTATGGATCCTATCGATGCAAAGATATCTGAAACCATCATGATCCTGCAAGAAAACAGTGCGCAGGTGTCAGGAAAGGTAATCAGCATCTTTCATGATAATTAATGTGATAAATCAGTGCCCATTATGACAGAGCAGGTTATCAATTTTCTAGCAATGTTTGACAAGAAGACATTTTTCACCACAGAGCTTCTGGGTCTCCTGATTTAATCATTAGCCTAATAATGCTGAAATGCATTTTGAAAACAACGTTTTTTTGCAGTTATTTTCACAGCTTTCTTCTTTAGAGCCAGTTTCAGTATCAATTTATTAGCTACAACCTTAATATACTGCATGTTTGATCTTAGCACTTGGCAAGCAAAAGTGAACATTATAGTAAGTACAAGAATCCCTCTAAACCTTGACCAAGCTTTAATACCTAGCCTAACCCTAAAACAGTAAAAAAAAAAAAAAAAAGTTAATAAAAAAATAGTAATAATATAAAAATTTTAAATAAATTTTAAAAGAAAACAGAACCCACACACACAAAATATACACGTGCAACAGTGTGCACGATACTGTGGTATACGCCATACACATGCGCTGTGGTGAGTTGTTAGAAAGCATGCGCAGAATGTTGATCATAAATTCCTTGCTTACTTTGCTAAATAGTGTAAGAGAGCTTATATGACTGATTGAAGTACACCTAGTATCCATATTTCTTGTCCTCTACAAGCCAGAAGGGGTACAGGGAACTTGGAACTCATATACCTTCCTGCAAGTGACTATAACAACAACTGAGAATCTCAGCTCTACTCTAATAGTAGAAACAGTGCTGAAGACCAGGTCCTCACCTGCCCTTTGCAGGAAAAGCTTTTATATGTACTCACTTCATCTTGTATTTCCTAACTTACATGTAGAACTAAGTTTTTTTATAACACAATGCTCTTAATTGCAAGTTAAACCTTAACTATGGATGAGCTTTGGGTTTGGCATGAACATAAATTCAACCCTCACCCAGCCTGTATGCAATTTGGTCATATTTATTGCCAGTTTGTCAACAGAGGCTGTCATTTTGCACCAGTAACACTACCCATTACTACATGACAATTACCTAGCTGGTGCTTGTAAACAGACTGGCCAGGGGATCCAAGGTGAGGTCTTTGATCAAATATGGTTTTGACCATATTTGGTCAATTACATCACCCAAAGTCCAACAGGTCATGATGTCTGCAGTTCATCATGCTTGTTGTGGATCTACACTGCTGGATGATGGGATTGACACTGAATTTACCAGTGTTTTATTTACCATTTATATTTTTTGTAAATAAGTACAAAGGGGCACTAAGTACCATGTACTCTTTTCACCTCAGGGAGGCCGGATATTTGGGGCCTCCTTATTCTTAAGAGGACCTCCAGATTCTGATAGGTCTCCCCACCTCAGACCCCCCACATGCCTTTTGGGGGACAGGATGTGAGAATCAAGCCTAGTCCGCTGTCAGTATGAGGACAAGGTGCCTTGTCGTACTTCCTGGCAAGACAACCTCCCAATGTTAGGGGAAGGGGGTATGATTCAGGAGGTGTGCACATGCTTGCTGCTCCCATTTCCTGGCCATTCGGGCTGCATTATTGCAATTGAATCTTTAATTAATGTTTTGGGGATCACACACCATGTAGGGGTTGTCTTAAAGGAACAGTACACATTGTTTACAAAAAGGTTCACTGTCCCTTTAAGAAAAACAGTGTGGGTTTTCCCCAACATTCCTAAAAGACTCTTATTCAGGCATACAGCTTGGGTGGCTAGAAAATGGGGCCAGTAAATGTGCCCTCCTTGAACCAAGTCACATGCTCAACATTGGGAGGTACCTGGCAGGGAGAGCGATAAAGCCTCCCCCCATTAAAAGGCACATTGTCCCCATGTTAATAGTTTGGGAATTCTGGGTGACAACATTGACCAAATATGGTCACAAGCCTATTTGGTCAATGACTTCACCCAGGATCTCCTATTGACTGTGTCTATCTTTTGCATTTGAAGTCAGAGTGATTCCAGTCAGTAGATTGTGACAGTATATTTTTTATATTTAGTTATTTATTGATGTATTGATTGATTCGCCAATTGATTACAGCAAGTAAGCCACAAAGTGCTTAGACAAAATAGAGATATGTCTTTCTCTACTTCATGACACTAAAAGGCAAAGGGAGACACTGCTTTACTAGGTGATGTTGACCTTTGTAGACTGGCTATTCTGGTAATTGTGTTTTTCTATGGGCTACTGGGTCATGGTTTAGTTTTGCTAAAAAAAATTAAAAAAAAATAAAAAAAAAAACACTTTTGAGATTTGAGTTATCCAGTCAGGTATACACGTTTCTATTTTCTTCATTCAACCTGCTGTCTGAAAGAAAATAATAGAACAGATTCCCCCATTAATGCTTACAAGTGTTGATTGAGGAATCTCCTGTTTCCTTTGCATTCTGACAGAGGCCATCGGCTGCTGCCAGAATACCTGGACAGAGCTGGCAGCTCATTGGCTGCTAGATTTGTTTATCTGACAATTTTCTGACATGCTCCTTCGATCAGCTGATCAAGGGATGCCAGTTGGAAAGGTGCTGACAGCAGCACCCGTGCACTGAATTTCAAAATTCAAAAAGCGTGTACACCCAGTGATTCCAGAACAAAATTGTTATTGCACCACAAGGCTTGGTTAGATATATTTGGCTTGGTGAGCTTCATATGCCAGGGCTCTATCTGACTTCACCATCAAAGTTGTAGCTACCACAATCTCCATTGTGACCATAACTGAAAGTGAAAGCCTGGTGACAACATGGAAAATGTACAATCACATTATGTGCAAATGAACATACCCACATGTGCACAGAAAGAGTAGTTGATATGCATCCCTCCCCTCCTCACTCTTTAGATCAAATCAGTGAATTCATGACAGACCTCAGATACATACTAATGTACCTTTTTATTGCTACAGGCTGCCCAGAATGTGTTAGTGCTCATATCCTATAACGCTCCATATTCCTATGTCCATGATTTAAAAATCACATGGCATGGAGTACTTAAAGGACGATTGTGCCATACAGGTTAGGTATCACTGCGAATGTGAAACTATTTTTGGGTCGCGACTTAATGACCAAGGACAAATGTGGGTCCTGAGGTTACACAGGTTGAGAACCACTGGCTTAGAGGATTATGACTGTTCTAAGGGCATGTGACAAGCTAAGTCCAGCATACTCCATTACTCTGTAATGCCTAGCCCAGCACATGCTCAAGGTCTTTGAAAGATGGTCCTCAGGGCATATAATGCTGCAGAATATAAACACCTTTAGCAGTTACAAAGATGATCTTGTTTTTAATATCCTAAAGTATTCAAAAATACAAATGAGAAACATAGTTTTAAGTTTATCTTTTATAGCTGCATTTTTTCTTTTATGTTTTCTTGGGGTTTTTTTTAACTTAAATGATTGTTGCTCTACGCTGCACAGAAAGCCCTTGGTGTTTGTTTTGTTATTATTTCTAAATGAAAAAGATGGTCAGGGTTGTTTATTGATCAGCTTAGTGCAGAGCGTACAGCAGCACTTATATTTCACATTTAAAACAGCATCCTTTGCTTTTACTTAGGAGATATGCCATTAAATTATCTGGTCTTTTACTTTTTCAATTTGCTCTATTTTAAGAAGACTCTGACATGATAATAAACTTCTGCAATGATGGTTATTTCTCGCCTTCCAATTTAAGCTCTTTATTTGATCAGAGGGATACAATTTATTAGTATTCTGCAGCCTGCCAACAGCTGTTTGCTAGGCAATATTAAACTCTTAATTGACTCGAAATGTAACATTTATGGTAGATCAAATTGAGAGCCTAAGGTTGCATGTCAGGATTAGAGAACCATGTTTATTCTTTTACAAGTAAAACAACCATTGAAGTTGTGCTAGGCTAAAAAAAAGTATTTCACTGCACTTTACCTACAGCCATTACCACCTTAAGACGGGTACTTATATGTTTTTACTGCTTCTCAGAACAAGGAATTTACTTGTTCTAAGATTTTAGGCAACTACAAAACCATACCACTCTATTGCTATTGATCAGAGATTGTCTGTTCTATTTCCTGTCAGCCATTTTATAGCAGTGTAGCTGAGGCCAAGCATTGCAGAAGGAAAGGGCTGTACTTGCTTGTTAAACTATTAATTCAACCAGAAATATTGCTAATATATTCATGTCAAGGTCACGAGCTTCATATCTGAATGCATGTTTAGTGAATGGTGTAGGATTTGACACGCTACTATTACCCTGTGAAATGGCGTTTTTGCAGAACAGCAAAAATAATATTCTAAGTTTATCTTTTTTTAACAAAATAGTTGAATTTTATCATTTTCCTTGAAACTGGCCCACTATGGTATAAGCATGTTCCAATGGCAGCTGTTGTATTTTAGCTGCCAGTTGTGTTCTGAGAAGTTGATGTGAAGAAAGAAAAAGGGCACAGGGCTAGTCATCAGTATTACCTGAAGACTCTCTGCAGCAAATCTTTTCCCCAATTACTGACTTACTATGCCTTGTTTCACACTGTGCCTTTATGTGGATGCAGCCATCTTGGTAGAGGCGGGGCATTGCTTCTCCATTTAAAAGCCACCCCCTGATGACTTTTGTGGTTATATACAAAAGGTAGCTGGAGAGGTGCAAGAAGCACAGATCCATAGAATAAGCGAAGCAGAAACAGGGAGATGTTTTCACTGCAGGTCCTCAGGTTCTGCTTTCTCTCTAGCAAGGTGAACAGTGAGCAACACAGTAGTGAAATCACCATATCTCGTAATACTAGTAGTCAAAGGCAATGTGCCACAGATGATCTCACACTGCAGATATAAATATATGAGTTTACAGCATAGGAGTGCCAAGGCACACAAAGTGCACTGCGGGTACAATAAACGTTTCTAGTATGTACTTAGTATATTTTCTATTTAGTTGAATGTTATATCAGGAAAATACCTCATTATGGCCAGTAGATGGAGCTGAGGAGTGCTCCTCAGCTCCACCTACTGTTCATAATGCTGAAGATATATATAATAGCTTACATTTTCTTATGTTTGAGTTGGTCATATCTCACTTTATTTCCTGAACCTTCATATTGTTTTTTTAATGTAATGGGTATTCTCACTGACCAATAGGGATGAATAAGGGCTAGTTCACACCAGCTGCAGTTGTGATGCAGTCCGTTCAGTTTGGCAGCTGCATCCAAAATGCATCACACTGCTTTCCTATGGGATTTCTGGTGCTCTGTTCACACCAGTGCAGTCTTTTTCCAATGCAGTCAGAAAAAATACTGCTGGATTCATTTTAGTGCTCTGACAGGAAGAAGGAAGTGACATAATAGTCTAATTTGCATTTTGCAAAAAAAAAGCATCGGATCACATCAAAATCGCGGGAAAACGCATCACACGCAGTTATGGTGTGAACTAGCACTCAGGCCAGGTTCACACCATTTTCCGGACTAGATCTGGACCAGATCTGGAACACTGTGCATTGTGTTTTACCGCTATTTTTGCCGCATTCCGGAGCAGGTTTTTTTAGCTTAAAACGGGGTTTTAGGTGGGGTCCAGTGCATTTGCATGCATTTGTATACGTTTGTTATGTGTTTCCATGTGTTCCAGTGCATTCCAGACCAGAGAAAATGAGACAAGCAGTATGTTTTTGTCTGGTCTGAAACGGACTGTGCTGCTGTATACAAAGCCCAGAAATACCATAGGGATACATTGGGATGCTTATTTGGTCTGGTAACCAACTGTTCTGGTCTGGACATGATCCAGACATAAGGGTCTATTCACTAAACTTCCGCAGGCAGCTGAGTGAATGACCGACCTGAAGTGAAGTGAGCCAAACACTGTTTCGGCTATTCACTTCAGGCTGGTACGGCTGATTTCAGCCGTACATCGGCTGAAATCAGCCGTACATCGGCTTGCTTTGCATGGCTTCGGGGCGGGCGAACATGCTCAGCATGTTTGGCTGACCCGAAGTGCAGAAGGAGTTCGACTCAGCCGATCCAACATCTGGATCGGCTGAGCCGAACCTCCGGCAGGCTGCTCACTGCTGTTCTGCCTATTCTTATAGATGCCGAACAGCAGTGAGTGAATAGCCGAATGCCGCTGAGCGGCATTCGGCTCGGCTGTTCTGCTCGGTCCCTCAGAGGGACCGAGCAGAACAGAAAAATAGTAAAAAAAGTTTCAAAAACAGTAAATAGAAAACGATTGTCCGCAGCTAGCAATGACAGCTAGCTCCGCAAAACAGTTTTCTATTGTCCGGCAGTTCTGCTGCCGTCAAAAAAAAACTTTCCCGGGTGCTGTGGGAGCCTCCCGCTCCCAGCCGCCCAGGAGAGAAACACTGCTGTTTCTTTTTTTTTTATTCTGACACGGAAAAAAAGAAAAAAGAAAAAATTAAAAAATGTATTTTAGTAAACTAGCATTGTACCCACCCTCTGCTGATGGACCTGATGGAGAACTGCAGCAGAGGGCGGGTACAATGCTAGTTTACTAAAATACATTTTTTAATTTTTTCTTTTTTCTTTTTTTCCGTGTCAGAATAAAAAAAAAAGAAACAGCAGTGTTTCTCTCCTTGGCGGCCGGGAGCGGGAGACTCCCGGGGCGCCAGGGAGAGTTTGCTGTTTGGAGATCAGTGTCCCTGGTTAGCATGTACGTGTTTTGACGTAACGTACGTAGGGCAGAGCTCCTGATGTCACCACGCTGAGCCGGACGAACAGTTTTCATATCACTTTGCTGCCATTTGTCCTGCTGGTATGATCCAGCTATACCCAATGCCTGTACTGTTTACACCAATGTGAGTACGCATTTTTTATATAATAAATTGCATTTTATTGGACGTTACGCACTATGTCCTTGTCCTTTTTCTCTTTCCACCGGGATTTATACTGGTACCTGTGATCTGAGGAGACCTTATCGCCTTTTTCTGTGCATGGGCTTCCCTCCCCCATTAAGAAGGGAAAAAGTGCATTTGACCTAGCTCTGTGGGTCTACCTCCCCAGGTGAGCATTCACTTGTTATCATCACTCACTGGGTGGAGGTGAAGGTCTGCCTGCATTGTGTGATCATCCTTACCTGAGAGTTATATGCACATTGGCTGCGAATCATCTGAGGAATTTTTTGCACAATCACCATTGTTTGCGTTTGTTTTTTTCCTTGGGACTTTTTTTGCCTATATTGCTTTCAGAACTATATAAATGTAGACAGAACAGTGCATCTGTTTGCTTATGCTGAATAACTCAATCAATTTTGCTGCATACATTTTTTTAAGTCAGTACTAGTGATTTTATCTTTTATCTTGTTTTTTTACGTGGTACGATCAAAATGCTCTGATCACAAGCATTTCTTAAAAATATATGATTGCTGGAACATAAAGGAATACATAAAATTCAATAAACCATTAACTTGCCATTATAACATTCTGTTACATATGGTGTCATGATGTGATGATGTTTTTTGCCGCTCTCATTATTATTTATATTTCTAGTAAATAGGTATGATTCATAAACATTCATGAGCTCATTATTAAAACATATATGTTTCCCTTTTATTACATCAATTTATAAACATAATTTACATTTTATAACATCTGTTGATGTGTCTGGTTATGGAAACAAATATTGGGAAAAGACTATTATGATGAAATGTAATCCTGACTATTAGTTGTAACAGATTCTGAAATCTAATACCAAAGTAATTGTAAATTATTTGCTGGATTTATCACGAACGTGCCATGGAATATAGTTGAGAAAACATCAGATGACTGTGCATTTGGTATTCATGTACTCCAATTTGTCCATAATAAATACCATGAAGGATTTTCTCAAATTAAATGATGTGAATTCAGAGGCCAATGTTCATCTTCTATACGAAGTGATACTGGTTGACTATTCCAAAATCCTGGAGCTAGATTGGATGTCTGCTGAATTGCATTTGATTGTCACATTAGATTGCTGATTATTACTAGACAGCAGCAGAATGAGAAGGAACAGAGTGGGCACTTTCTTATTTAATTCTGACCACAATCAAACATATCCACTTGTTTTAAAAGTCACAACACTTCCAATATCCAGGTATAATTTAAGATGAATGGAGGATTCACATCAATGGAAGCCCAATCATTATGATCCATCTTTAGGCGCACATATTTCAAAGTTTGGGCACGACAGTCCTACTGGATATCTGCCCACACGTGTACTTTATTTATATATAGGATATACCCAAATAATGTTTTATTTTAGAACACGGTAGTCATATCCCGTTCTATCCGCTAATATGTGCCCAATCACAGTTCAAGTATCCAGGTTTTCATTGACATGATATGTGCATTTATTACTCGACAAGCTAAGGTTGTATACATGGTCTTTTAGGAATGCAAGCCATTAGGAATGCAAAAACACATGCATGACAACAGCTTCATACAGCTTAAAAAAATAAGTAACACATCACAAGAGGGTGAGACGCACCTATGAAGGAATTCAGAAGAATCTCAGAACCAAAATCAAATTGATTTTAAATGCAATTATTACACACAAAAACATGCTACATTTGCTCACCTTAAGGTGTTTCACGCTGCTTTAAGTAAGCAAGTTAGGGCATGTTTACACAAATATTTTGTTTGAATTAGAACTGCTCACCTTCTCATACAAGTCACTGGGAATGCAAAAGCAGCTCATTGCAGCTTAAAAGTGTGATAATTTCACTCTCAGATCCCATTGTTGTAACCTGAATGTGATGTTTACACTATCAGATCTCACCATGTGCAGATGTTTTCCTGCTGTAGAACAACAGTTTAAGAACCAGCAGACTAAAAATGGGGAAGGTTAACTGAGCAGTTAACCTTATATATACACCATGTGCTTTAATGGAAACATGCACCATTCACAGCATCTGTTGTTGTAGTTCTGATCTTTGTAGAATATATCTGTATCACTTGTTGCTACATCCAGACAGGAATGTAACAAAATTTGCCATAGCATTTTACAGAGGCAACATTATTTAATTTCTAAAAAGAGCATAGAGATGCACCTCAACAATTTTTGAATATTGTTTTAATGAAAGGAAGCAACAGTAAAAATGAAATGAATAAAAGTGAAAAATACTTCCTTACAATCCTCACAAATAGCACCTCCAAATGAACTTAAACACATCACAAATATGAGCTAACTGCTCCTTAAAAACCAGCTGTGTTTTCCCATCAACAGTAGCCCAATGTCACTAAAATAAGAATCTACAATAATGTTTCCCTGCAAAGAAAACATTGAATACTTACCTGTCCTGCTGCTAGCACTACCAATCTCTAAAGTAGTTAACAGAGTGACACAACCCTGGTCCTCTGATGCACTCAGTGCTTCATTCCACTGGTCCCTACCAGTACACAGTAGAAATGTTAGATCAAATCACTTAGAGCAGTGGGGGATCAGGATTCCATCACTAGTGATACATTCTGCAGGATCGTCATCTGTGGTTTATATTCACTACTGCAGAGATCAGCAGTGTAGGCAGCAGAAGAGTTGAGCATTCCATGTCTTCTTTGCAGGGGATACATTATTGTAAAATATTATTGTGGTGACAGAGTCACTTTAATGATCACATATGTACTGCATACGTTCTAAATCTATTTTTGTATAAATATTACAGTAGTAAAAGTTGGTATCTTCTGTAAGATACCAACAGACGCATACAACATATTTTTGTTGGTAAAGGTAAAAACAAAACAGTTATGTTTACTTTTCAATGGAAACAATATGGCTTATTCACACAAAAGGTTTTAATATAATGCTTAACAGAATATTAATCTTTGGTGGTTGTTAGAAATAAAATCTGCTAGTATTTTGTCATCTCTGCAAGTCTAAGAATGCTGCAATGCAACTGACTTCCTATACATGTCAAAATAATTACTTCCATTTTTTTTAATAATGTTTGTTACAGATTGTAATACATTTATTTTGTCTTCATTAGGTGTTTCTTGGATGTGGTCAACCTAAATCGCTTCGTTCTTTGAGGACACTAAGATCATTTCCGGGAAGATATAACATGTACTTTAAACCGTATAGTTTACATGAAAAACCAACAACTGCTGTTGGTACCAGCATGGATCGATTGGTATGCCATTTTTATACGTTATATATTCTATATTATAAATGGCAAAAACAAGGCTTGGTACTGTAAAAATATATACATGGCTATTTTATTAACACTAACAAAGAAGCTCTATAACCAAATATTCCTATTTCCCCTCTTACAGCAACATATGTCATCCATACAGAGTTGTAGTCTACTGTTAAAATTTGACTGTTGTAACACAGCAATCCAATATAATGTTAGTGTTGGAGATTTATGGTTACATAATTTGACTTTTGTTATGTTGTGACACACAGGGGTTGATTTACTAACCTTATAAACACACCACGAACATGTATACACCTCTGTAGTGTGTTCCCTCCCAGCATGATCTATGGGTGGAATCTAAACACCTTTGTAGTGTGTACACACCCAGCAGGTGTGTTGTGCAAAGCCCTGCATGAATTTGCAAGGTGATCTTGTGTAAATTAGCTCTATGTTGTGTTGCTTGCGTTGATGAATGCAGGAATGTAAATGCATGAGCTAACCATTTTTGTCTAAACTGTGAAGCAGCATTATATATGCATCATGTGCATGATTTTTCCATATATGGCATTAGTGGAAATATGCTTTTAGAGACTTTTTGGTTGATAAATACGTTTTGCTGTGTAAAAATCACACGCACCTAGTGCGTGCGTGTGTTTGGGTTAGTAAATCACCCCCACAGCCTCAGGTGGCCCCGGAGGATGGCCTGTGACAGAGTTGTACAGAAATCCAGTGGTTCTTTTTTCAATTCTGCACAGTTTTATGCAACACTGAAAAAAGAAAAAACAAAACAAATGAAAAAAAGTTTTTATATAAAAAATAATAGCTGAAAAAAATTAGCGATGGGGAGGAAGGAGGTACTTGGGGCTGATTAGCTTTTACTAAACGTTAATAGGGGTAATATAGGAAAACAGTTTATTTATAAATATTTTTTTCTTTTTACGTGTAAGGTTTTTTTTAACTGATGTCATATACAGATCAAAAGTCACCCCTTAGATCTACATATGAATGAAATAGTAAAAACAAAGTAGACATACATGATTGCAGTGTATTACAATTGAGGTATTTTTCTCAGCATATTGTATCAGGGTTATTCACAAAGCTGCCGAAGGTAGCTGAGTGAATAACCGAGCCGAAGTAAGCAGAGCCGAATGAGGTTTGGCTATTCACTCCAGCTCAGTACGACTGATTTCAGCCGTACATCGGCTGAAATCAGCCGTACATCGGCTCTGTATGACTGCCTTCGGTCAGCCGAACATGCTCTGAGCCAAAGTGCAGAGGGACTTCGGCTCGGCCGATCCAACATCTGGAAACAGCTGAGCTGAAGCTCCGGCAGCTCATTAGCTGCCATTTGCCCCTATTGTCATGGGGGCCGAGCGGCATTCGGCTCGGCTATTCTGCTCGGTACCTCCGTGCAGAATAGAAAATAAGTGAAAAGAACCGAAGGGCTCCGGCGGCCAAAGAGAGCTGAAGGATCAGCCGAAGCTACGGCAGGATCTTTCGGCTCTTTAGTGAATAACCCCCTATATATCTAATAAGGGATGGTATCAGAGTGCTAACTTTGATTTTGCAATACTAAAATACAACACAAAAATAACCACTTTGTGTCACTACATCTTTTATACTATCCACTTTGTTGCAAAGTAACCATAAAGTTTGCATTACATCATGCTTGACATATTCAGCTGTTCTCAGTGTTAAAAACAAAATAACGTTAATTTAAAAATAATTTAAAAACAGCTTAAACCACAATCCTAATCAAGTGGAAAATCTGCCCTTTTAGAATTAAAGCAAATCTATTTTTATCTGTGCAACATGTCAGTACAAGTAATCAGTTCTTCAGTCTATATCAGATAGCCTGCATATGGACATTTTCATTATTATTTTTAACATACCAGTGTTCACGCCTAATGTATTAGGCATATATCCTTTCAAAGTTCTGTAATTATAAGTATTGCATGCACAGACAATATACTGTATGTATCTCTTTCTGGTGGGTTTTCAGATGCAGCACACTTACAGTTAGCCTCCCATATTTCATTTAACATTCTATAGATGTATTGCCAGGTATCACTTTCCTTCAATCCCTCATGTTGAGCTGCTAGTGACAGAATCTGCTTTCTGCACCAGCTGCCCCACTCTGGGGCTGGTTAGTGCACCACAAGTACCTCCTCTTATTGGCTCCTCCTGGAAACTGTATGAGGCATAATCTGCAGTAATACCAAGCAATAACGCTGGATGTTTACATTTATATTTCAATCTGAACAGATCTGATTAGACATACATAACATCAGATTAGGCTTGTATTCTAATCACTCAGCTCCATATGCAGGATATGAAGGGCAGAGAATGTCTAAACAGAACAGTTGTCTAGGAACACATGTTTTTTTTTTAAGATCACTGTCTTTCTATTCACCTTTATACACCTACATCCTCTGATCAGCTACACTGTTAACTGAACAACACCTGAGAACTTGGCTGCAATGGACCCTATAGTATTACTCAATGACACATGCAGACTATCGGCAAGTGTTGTTTTACAGAGGAGCAGCTTTCAAAATGTGACAGTCGCTCCTGTTATTTCATACACAGCAATTCTCGGCTGTCCTTTTGGCAGCTGTAATTAATATTTGTAGAGAAGGACAGCAGCAGGAGAGAGTAACAGAATGTTAGAGATATGTGCGAAGAACTTTCTTGATGTTTCTTAGGGCATATCTCCTACACTCAGTCCTTTAAATGGTTAAACTATATCTAAACTAAACTAGAACAAAAAATGTAATATATTTCAACTTACAAATCCTTAGAAGTGGTGGCTCCATTAGGTTTTTTTATGATAATAATATTTCCTGCAAGTGCAGAAATAAACCGTCAATCCTACCGGAAAGCAAGTATCCTTGTAACCTCCTGTGCACTAAATTGAAATCTCAAAAAATGTAATCACCCACTGCATCTATTAATCTGTACATTCAGGAGACCAGCCTAGAGTGACAACTTTACTTCTTAATAGACAGGGTGGAGGGAGTAAGCGTTGTCAGGGACAGGGAATGTGTTACTGTCGGGATTACCAAAAGAAAAAAAAAAGAAAGCGAATGCGGCCACAACTTATAAGAACTCTTAAGCTGCAATATATTAGATTTTTATGTTTAAGTTTAGATATGTTTTAAAGGTACATGGACCTACCACAAGCCCAGACTCACTCAATGGCAACAGAAGGCCTTCAGTGTGTATCTGCACCAAAAACCAAACCAAGTGTGGGCTTCCAGAACACTATTGCAGGCCCTGAGACATGATGACATGCCCCCAAGGGAGGCTCCATGATGCCGTGATCTCACAGAAAGTGGACTGAATTATACTACATGTCCTTCAACCCAGAAAAGAACTAGCTGGAGTTCAGAGCAGTGAGTCTGCAAGGGACATCATTGATGAATGCAGCTAGAACCTTTTTTTTTTTTAACGTTTACATTTCCTTGGCAATTGTTTGTTTTAAAACTTGTTGTAATCTGGAGTTGGGCTTTAACAGACAATGCCCAGAGCTGAAAGGACACCAGCAATTTCAATTTGGAATTATGCAGAAAAAACCCTCTGCGCTAGAAGAAACATTGTTGTTTTGAACCATCACAATCTTCAAATGACTATACATCATATATGCTAATGCAAACATATATTGTCATGTCATGTTTTCACTTCTCCTTCAGGTCCCCAACAGGCTCCTTGATGTCCCTGTTCCTCTACACACAGGACAACATGACCCCGGTGTGTACAGGAACACCTATGAATAAACCAGTTAATGAGCTGATCTCAGCTTAGTAAAGAACTATTATGCAATATAACAGCTAACAACATAAGAACAAAGGGTGTGTGTGCGGGTGCGTGTGTGTGCGCGCGTGTGTGTGTTTGTGTGTATTATAACCAGTTATTGTCTACATCAATGAAAAGTTGTAGACATTTTAAATAATATTGCACATTTTGTGCAGATGTCATATGTTTTGGCTCTTGACAATAGAAAACAGATGTGGATTCCATACTCTTTCTTTAAAACATAGAGAATGTGCTTGCAGTAATCAGAATGTAATTATCACCGTGGTGCTATATCATTAAAAAAACTACCACTGTTTATTTATTAGCCAAAGTTTGTTGTACATAAATCTATGCAAACAAGGACAGAATCCAGCAAGGTGCAACATAAATCTCTGGCACATACCTGCAGATTAATAATATGAACAGCTGTGTATTGGGTTTATTGACTCCAGGGTGGATATTAAAAGTAAAAATGAGCAGCTGTAGGAAAATCATATTCAACCACATGATTAAACTTTTGAAAAAGTTATGCTAAAAAGATCAGTGGTATTTGAGACACATTTGGGTTATTTTCTTTTATAGACAATTAGATGATTTTACCTAAATTAACATTATCATAACTACTTGATGAATGGTTGCCATATTGCACTTGTGTATTGTTTTACACTAAAAAATATTTGTTTGAGTAACAGTGAAAGGAAACCCATAGGGACAAAAATATGAAGGCTGTCGTAACTGAGCTTTCTTTATGGTCTGGAAAGGTTCTGGCACCAATGGGGTTCCTGCTACAAACGTCTTCATAAAACCAGAAGGATGTAGGTTATGAGTGGAAAGTAGGGAGAGTGGGTTGTAGGATGGCGCAGAGCAGCTGGCCCTGGCCCACCAAATTGAATCATTTGGATAGACCTCATAAACCCCATCTATTGACCTCTTAACTTTACAACCACATTAAATCTACAAAGTCCTCTTTCCGTTTTCCTTACAGTGATTACCTGATATCAGTCTTATGCCTTTGTTTAGCCTAATATGGAGGTAACACTCATGTTAGGCTGCTTTGCCATGTGACTTGTCTCTTGCCTCCAGACTCACTCCCCGCCCACCACTTTGCTACCACTGTTACTATATCCATCCGCTTTTATAAAGAAATATAAGTAAAGAGTATCTTGTTTTAATAAGTCTTTTACAGACTCAATGGAGTTATCCTTTTCACAGGCACCCAGGGGCATACTGCTGTTGCATAAGACATTTAAAATATAGAGAAAAAGAATATGTAGGCTGTTATTACTGATCCCTCTTTTTGGTCCAGAGGGGTTCTGGCACCAAGGACTTTCTAAAATAGCCTTCTTCATAAAACCAGATGGATGCAGCAGCAGGTTATCTGGGAAAGTGGCAAGAATGGGTCATAGGATGGCCCTGAGCAGCTGGCCCTGGCCCTGGCCCACCAGGTTGAATCATCTGGATAGACCATGCAAACATCACACATTGACTTCTTAATGGATTTTCATACATATTAAACCTTCAAAGTCCTCTTTTTTATTTGCCTTACAGTACTTGCCTGATATCAGTCTTATGTCTATATACAACCTTATATGAGGCTAACTCTTGCTTTAGGCTACATTCCTAAATAAACTATCTCTTGGCGCGAGACTCACCACCCCACCCCCTCTGCTACCACTGTTGCTATATCCATCTGCTTCTATGAAGAAATCTAAAGAAAGAGTTTCCTCTTTTATAGACATTATGGATTTACCTTGTTCCCAGGAGCCCAAGAGGATATTGCTGTTGCTGTTGTAGAAGACAACATTTTAATCGGGTGCAATGTGTTTACTGACACGTTTTCTACTTGAGAAAATGCTAGTACCCAGAATGCTTTGCTGATCAAAATGGCTTCAGCATTTTTCATTTACTGACCAAGAATAATTATTTTGATTAGGAGTTCTGACATCACTTGCTGCATGGTTGTTCCAGGTCATAGACTTAGAAATTATTAAAACCAGGCAGCTAGCATTTCAGTATAAGGTCAGCTATAGCAACCTAAATATTTCTCTCGTGTAGGTGGTAAATGATAGCTCTATACAGCAAATTACACTTTTCTTAACTGTCACAATTTTTAGCTACAGCGCAGTGAACTTTCCTTGATGATTGGAGGAGTTGCTGAGTTATTGCACTAGTATGTGTTGAACTCAGTGAATGATTCGAACTTAAAAAACATTGTTCCCTACCATACCTTTTGAAGGAATATTTGCTCTATTACAGCTCAGGTTTGCCACACATATTCCTCTCTAGGTCTAGTGTATAGATCTGTATAAATATTTTTAATGAAGTAAAATGTTGAAAGGCTTGTCACCTTCAAAAGAGAGCATCGTGCAAAAGAGTAACCTATAGACACCAACATTCATATTTTGGTGATTTGAATTAAAGGGAATCTGTGATGAGACATGACTTTATCGGAGCAGAAAGAATAGTTCTAGGACAGTCAAGCTGATCCTTCAGCCTTAGTTTATGTGAAGTCACTACAGCTGGTGGGCTATGAACTGCAAAGCTGCATTTTTGTTCTAGCATAGTTTCTTTCATTCATAGGGAAGCCAAAGGATCAGCTTGATAGGAGTCAAAGAATGGCTGGAGCCACTGATAGTTTTTTTCTATGACATTCATGTCCTTTATCTTTAGAAAGACTGACAAATCATTATCCAGGAATTCTGTTGCTAAAAAAACAGGACAATAAAGGCAACCTTATCACCTATTGTCTTTGCTCCTTAACGTCCACATGATATTCATGTATTTATTACAGGCATTTATATAGCACTGACAATTTTTGCAGAGCTTTACTTACTGTATACACACATCAGCCTCTGCCCTAAAGGAGTTTACAGTCCAAGGCTCCTATTTTGCCTTGACATAAGATCTTGCCTCAAGACTCTCTCACCATCCCTACTGCTACCACTAATGCCATATTCAACTGCTTTTATAAAGGAATGCATACATACTAGGAAGAACTTTAGACAGAGCCAATTAACCTACCTTGTCTTTGGAGTGTAGAAGGTAAACCACACAAGCACAAGGAGAACATACAAACTCCATGCAGAAAGTGCCCTGGCCGGGATTCAATCCATGGACCCCAGTGCTGCAAGGTGGAAGTGCTAAACCGTATTACATATTACAACATGTGTTTTTGGCAAAGCATCTTAAAGTATAATCTCAAAAATGTATAACAGTTAAATACATGCTTAAAATTAATGTTTGTTTTTATGTCAGGACAGGAAATGATTGGAAATCACTGCGATGCACATGCAGACAAAAGGGAAAATACATTTTTAGAAAGGAAGGGGGGTTAGAAGGTCTAACAATAGTTTAATTGCTGTATGTGCCTTACTGTCCCAGTAATGACTGAATGCGCTTTGTTGTGCAACTGCTTTGTTGTATGGGTGTCACAGGGACAGATAATTAGGGTACATCGTCTCAATGGATTCACAGATAGAAAAAAAAATGAGAGAAATGTTCATTCCTTCAAACTCTATCCAAAACTAAACAAAATGGAATGGAATTAGGATTTAATATGATACTACTGATATTTGTAAATTACATGGATTGTTAACATTGGTATAATATATTTGCTATTTTGTTTCTGTTATTGGTATCCAACATAAACACATAATAATAGTAAGAATTGTAACTGTAAGAAATTGGAATTGTAAGAACTGTATTAGTTGAATGGCAAGTGGTAAGCTTTTCTACATGTTATCTGCTTAGCTACTTTATAAGAGAAATGTGTGATAATAATTGTTCCCTTTCCTCTTTCCATGCAACCCATGGCTTTGCAGAGGAGCGTGTGGAGGATGATGCAGTATCGTGTAAGATCTACATTTCTTTACCTGTTGTCATTTTCATTTTATAATTGGGGGGGGGGGGTTTTTTCTGTTGTTTCCTTTTTATCTCTCATTTCCAGTAACGTTGCCGTGCCTTAGAACAGACAGTAATGTAAAGTGCAGGAAACAATCATCTGATTTTAATGAGTGCATAAGCATCTGCTACTAACTCACATCCAGCTCATCCCTCTATAAATGTCTTATTTATTGGAAACATGGCTACTTTGTTCCTAATGATGAGATTTAAGATCAGTTGCTCCAGATGTTTGCTTGAAATTGACTGGTAAATAAAGTGAGAGGAGAACGTATTGCCACATTTGCATTTCCATTAAGCAGGTTTTATTTCCATGCGCTGGAAGTGTTGAGTTGATACATGGATGCTGTCAGCACAATATTTGTAGAAATATAAAACCAGTCACGTATGGAATACTCATGCTGTATGACTCCATAGGTTGCCCTGGAACAATTACTCGGAAATATAAACCTTGATAGCGAGAGAGCTGACATTTAAAGAGCATTTCATGAAAACACTCCTTTAAAAAAAAATGTGTCACCTCTTGAATTTCCTGGTGATATTATTAGCTTTGACTTGACAAAATGACCCACATACAAACCAACCCAACTAAATGACTCAGAATAACATTAGTTTTAGAACATAACAACCCAGCTAGTATTCTTGTCTCATCCAGACAGAAGACTCCTCAGTTATCTTTACCAACACAGCCTGTAGTACCTCTAGTTTCCTGTAATAAATCTACTCCAAGCAGAAACATTCATGGCCCATTCACACTTTAGTGATCTGTTAACATGCATTTATTGTAAACAAGTCAAAACATACACATAATCCTTTTTTGGAAGTGCAGCACACCATAGTACATGGTATGTGTGATGTGGTGTGGTAGATGTGCTTTGCAGTCTACTGTACAGTGCTTGAGTTCAATTCACAATGAATGGCACGGCAATGCAGCACGCATAGAGCAGGTGCATTGTAGTAACTTGTGGGACCATGTGCCTTCAACTGCGTGTTGCCACAACACAGAAATGTTAATAGGTCCTAAAGACCCACATAGATCAATGCATGTGCATAGTGATGGGGGTTTTTTGTAGCGTTAGGTAAGTGACTTATGAGTTAATGGGGTTGATTTACTAACCTTATAAACACACCACGAACATGTATACACCTCTGTAGTGTGTTCCCTCCCAGCATGATCTATGGGTGGAATCTAAACACCTTTGTAGTGTGTACACACCCAGCAGGTGTGTTGTGCAAAGCCATGCATGAATTGCAAGGTGATGTTGTGTAAATTAGCTCTATGTTGTGTTGCTTGCATTGATGAATGCAGGAATGTAAATGCATGAGCTAACCATTTTTGTCTAAACTGTGAAGCAGCATTATATATGCATCATGTGCATGATTTCTCCATATATGGCATTAGTGGAAATATGCTTTTAGAGACTTTTTGGTTGATAAATACGTTTTGCTGTGTGAAAATCACACGCACCTGGTGCGTGCGTGTGTTTAGGTTAGTAAATCACCCCCAATGTGTCTTTTTGTTTGTGTGTGAACAAGCATTATTGACCCGTGTTGGTATGAATTTCTAATTAAAATTTACGATTTTTGGGGGATAGAATTAACAGCTCATGACCAAGTCTTGTTTATACATGCTGCCAATGCATCAAAAGGCATCCAACATGCTTTGTAATGCAAGTACAATTTAGCCATATCCAGGAGCGCAGATTTATTTTTCCTATGCTTTGTAATGCATTGCCATGTATTCTGAAAAACTCACTGCAGTGCAGTGCAGTAAAGAGATGGGAACAGGCAGTATTTTTAGTATGGTGAAGCTGGGTACATACGTTTAACACATTGTAACAGTGTAATTGGACCTTTACAAAGCCTGAACAAACCATTATAAAAAAGTTTTAAATAATAATGTTAAATGAAATAATTAAAAATAATAATACATTTTAATACCCCCTGCCTCCACGTGCACATACATACAAATACGTTAGGGGTACCTACATAAGAAAACGATGATTGTGCCACACATGTTGGGTATTGCCACGCACGACAGAGAGAGAACAATAGTTCTAGGACCATCATTCTCTGTTAACTCTAAACTGATGACCTGTAAAGCTTTTAAAGTGTCACCTATGGACAATTTTGGATACCATAGTTTTTCGTCATTTCACAGAAGCACGCAATTTTGAAGCTTGACATGTTTGGTATCTGTTTACTCAGTGCATCCTCATTTTTTATATTTGACATTTTAAAATGAGGTATTTTATTGTATTTATGTGCACTCAAATTAATTTAAAGGTATTTTTTACTGAAATGTTGGGTTTGATAAACAGTTGCACTAATATTGTGTGACATAAAAAATTGCAACTGCCGCAATTTTATTCTACAGTGTCCCTGCTTTCAGAAAATATATCTTCCTGGAGGTTGTTAAATTATCTTCAGGCCTAAATGTGCATTTTAATATGTGTGTAAAAAGGGTTTTGGTAGCGAAAGTCTTAGACAACTTCAATAAGTAAGACATTTAAAATTACACTTTTCTCTGCACACTTGCAGTAACTCCACATACTTTACCTAAAAGAGTTAGTTGGGCTTTAATTCCAATGGTGACTTCAGCATTATGAACCATGTACTATTATGTAAGAAAGAAGTGTATCAATATTTGAACCCCTACAGCGGTGCCTTGCACGTCTACTGCTACTTGAGATCTTGAGGCCTCTGCATTTTGTTTCTTGCGTGAAAGCTTCTAATGTCTTCTTCTATGACGAGCCATCATCAGGCACCTCCCCATGCACGGTACCAATTCAGTGTTTTCTGATTAATGGCATGCTCTTGATTATAAAAATAATATATGCAAGAATATGATTTTATCTCCACTAGGGAACAATTACTATGGCAGTGTCATATCACAAGAACTGCTGCTGGCTAGGGAATGTGTGCAGACAGTGCACAGAATGGCAGGCAGATTTCAAGAATTTGTGATCCACAAGAATGTGTGACGGAGCTGAGACTTTCAGGAATAAAACTTTTGATTTGTCAAAGAGATTGAGTCCAAACTCTGATACTTAGCATGAATTTTACAAGACTGACAATGGCACAATCAAGAGCTGGCTGCACAAATAATACACACAGGCAATGGTATTAGGCTTCAAAGGTTATTTTTTGTTTTAATTTTAAGGACTAGTTCCCACCACAAACAGTGCTTTCCGTCCCGATTTGGTGCCGGAACGCACTGGATCACATCCCGGCCACGCTACCCGGCCACAGTGTGATTGCCCGCACGTGAACACGTGGCACATCAATGCCTGCATTCTGGTCCGTTGCAATCAGAAAAAATGCTGCATGCAATATTTTTTCTGACTGCACCGGACCAGAATGCAGGCATTGATGTGCCACGCATTCGGGTGCGCGCGATCGCACTGCAGCCGGGGGTAGTGGCTGCGGTGCCATTGACTTCAATGCAGCACCACGCCCCTGAATGGAGGCAGGCAGCCGGGATGTGATCCAGTGCATTCCGACACCAAATTGGGCCAGAACGCACTGTTTATGGTGTGAACTAGTGCTAAAGTTAATAGCTCCTTTAATCATTATTTGTCAATTTTTGCAGAAAATAGTAATCATTTTCCATGTCGGTTTCTACACCATCCAACCCCTGTGTTTTTTGTTTTACATTTGAGCACTGTGTAATGTGATACCTTTTGAGGCCCTATCTGAAACGATGGGATCCCTTAAAAAAGAACGTAATTATTCTGAATTCTTGCAGTGGGGCTACCCCCATATTGCAAGAGTTAAGTGCTCATTTTCATTGAGGGACGAAAATAAAAAAGCTATACTCACCTGAAACTTGGAGCTGACTAGCTCTTAGATCAGCCTCTCCGCTCTAGCGGTCTAAGGTTCTGTGAATAATAGCGTCCTATACTGTGCATAGGACATGAAGATGCTGAAGGGCATTCCATTGCTGGAGGAGGAGATGGGAGGCAGGTATTGGAGTAGTAGCCAGTCAGCTCCCAGGTTCAGGAGAATGTATCTTTGTTATTTTGGCCCTAGACTAAAACGAGCACTTAAACCTTGGAGTGCGGGGATAGCTCCACTGCAAAAGCGAAGAATAATTACGCATGGAGTTTTACTTTAAATCCAGCCCTGATGGTCTCAAATATTAACATAGAGTATTTTATACTTCAGATGAACTAGCCTCTTTTCACAGCATTATTAACTGCTTCAGGTCCGCCCACCATCAAAAAACGTCCTCTCCTGAAGCAGTTATACCAGCCTCGTGCCGGCCCGGGACCAGCACAGTGGGTGTCCCCTCACTGATCAGAGGGACATCAGCAAGCTCCTAGCCGCTGATCTCTCCTCTGATCACTGGACCCGGAAGTGATTTGTATTACATCACTTCCGGTGTCACTGTTTACATTCTCCGGCTTCTGCAGCCAGGAGAAGAAGCTGGTGAAGGAGATTGCTGCTTCATCAGCTTTTTTAGATTCTCTAGGTAACATTAGGGGTCTGACAGACCCCTGATGTCTCCATAAAGAGGACCTGTCACATCAGACTTGCTATTACATAGGGGGCTTGTTAGTCCCCTATGTGATAGTAGTAAAGTTCAGTGTAAAAAAAAGAAGAAAATTAAAGTCACATATTAAAAAAAAAAATTTGTGTGTAAAGTCCACCATCCCCACGTACATGCACATACAGGCACAAAGACGTTGGGTGCATCCACGTGCAAAAACAAAACGCACATGTTACATATTCCCTCGAACGTCGGAGAGCAAAACTGATGAGCAGTGATAGATTTTAAATATGGGACATTTTGGGTATTGTAGTTTTTTTGTGGTTTCACAGGTGAACACAATTTTAAGGCTTAACATGATTGGTATATATATACCCGACCCCATCTTTTATATTTTACTAAACAGTTAGGTATTATATTCTGTTCTGTGCACTAAATTTAATTTTTGTGTATATTAGC